ATCTGCATTGAAAAGGTGCATTTTTTCCTTTGCTGAGGAAGTGATCCATGGGGTGATACTCTCACATGGGGTGGCTCTCCTTATCAATGACCTTTCACCCAGTAGTTCCGCATCCCTCCAGGGGGTGCGGTGCCATCTTGTTTTCACACCAATGGCTAAGAGTTCCGGAGACAACACATTTTGGTCAGCACCAGTTTTTGTTGGTTTGTTGATATTTTTTCTTCCAGCCATTCTAATAGATGCATGGTGATACCTCATCGTGGTTTCAGTCTGTCTTTCTCTAATGGCTAATGATGTAGAACATCTCGTGTACTTATTTGCCATCTGTGTGTCCTTTTTGATGAAGGGTCTGTTCAGATTTCTTGTCCATCTTGTGATCATGTTGGTTGTTTCTTTACTGTTGAGTTTTGAGTCTTTTTTTTTTTTTTTAATACATCTGTACATAAATTTTCCTTGGACATTCACATGTTTTGAGGGCTATTCCATGGAGAAAGGTTCAGTGTCATTTCCAGGGTAACATGGCATGGACTACAGAGACCTCTGCAGGAAATCTACTTTTGTTTAAAGTTATTTTAAATGTGATAAAATATATATAACATATATATATGGTAACATAAATGTTACCATTGCAGCCATTTTTAAGTGTTCAGGTCAGTGGCATTAAGTACATTCACCCTAGGACTCCTGGGCGGCTCAGTCGTTAAGCGTCTGCCTTCGGCTCAGGTCGTGATCCTGGGGTCCTGGGATGGAGCCCCACATCAGCCTCCCTGCTTAGCTGGGAGTCTGCTTTTCCCTCTGCCTGCTACTCCCCCTGCTTATGTGCTCTCTATTTCTCTCCCTGACAAATAAATAAATAAGTCTTTTTAAAATTAAAAAAAAAAAAGTCAAGGTCAGATGTGTTCAGACTGCTTTGGTGGCAAGTAACAGACACTAAAACTGGCTTAAACCAGAGAGGGAAGGTTTTGACTTGGGGCCATGAAATGGCCAGGATTCTGGATCTAGGGGTCCAAATGATGTCACAGGACTCGGGCTTTTTCTCTCCCTCTTGGCTGCTTGCTTCTGTGTGACAGATGCTTTCCACACAGTTCTCCCCCCAGTCAACCATCGCGGTGGGGAAAGGCGGCTCTTCCTTGACCATGCCATCAAAAGTCCCAGAGTTGAGTCTCATTGGCCTGGCTTGGGTCATGTGCCGGTCCCTGACCCATTGTTGTGGCCAGGGACAGGCAACAGTCTGGTTGGCCAGAGCCGCAACACCACTTCCTATCACAAAGACTAGGGAAGGGAGAGGGATGACATTCCAAAGGAAATTAGGCCCTGTCACCAAGACAAGAAAGGGAATACCAGAAAAGCAGGCATATTGATCAGCTCCTCTGCGGGAGGAACTGGCTGTGCATACCTCTTGTGCGCCAGGCGTTGGGCAAGGCCCCACGTGCATCAGTGGTTGCAGAGAATCCTCAAGGGAAATTACTCACCCTGTTTTAGAGACAAGAACACTGTGGCCAGAGAGGTTGGTGCCTCTGAGTCTCCCCCAGCAGCAGGGCGGGTGTCAGAACCCGGTGGGTGTGCCCTTTCACCCGCCCCTAAACCCTGGGGAAGGCCAAAGCCCTGCATTGGGACAATTCTCATTAAAAGTTAGATCTGTGCCTAAAAATGCAGGCACCAAATTGTGTTCAGAGCTTGATTCCAATAAACCAATTAGGACTGCTGCAGAGTCCTTGTACCATATGTACAGAACTTTAAAAACTATAAACAAGAGCTCTAGAATGAATTGTGTAAGCAGGATTTTGTTTTCCATTTATGGGAACGCTTTTTTTGTTGGCTTTAGGAAAACAATGACACTTTGATGATCAGGTTTTTTTTTTTCCTTTGTCTTTTAATCCATGTTAACATTATTCTTGACAGTTATCCAGACTTCACGTAAGCATCCCCCAGTGACAGGACTGTTGGTATGGTCCTCTCTGGGCCTCAATTTACCCATCCGGAAGTTGGGGCCATTGGATTAACTGAGTCCCTTTCAGTGATGGAAAAGCCTCCTGAGTGGTGTCCCTGCTCCTCGTCAAACCATTTTTCATACAGTGGCCAGAAGGATATATAAGAAAAATTTTTAAACACATATATTAAATCATGCCACACACCCCTATCCCTTGAAACTCTTTAATAGAACAAAATCCCATCTCCTCCCCGTGGCCTGCAAGTCCCTCATAATGCCACCGCTGCCTGCCTCCCAGCCCCTGCCTCCCTCCTCCCCTAGCTCTGCTTGCTGTGACACTCTTCCTGCACCTCAGACATGTCCGGCCTTTCCTGGCCTCCATATCGTTACTCGTCCTTTCTCTGCCTGAATACACTGTTCTCCACTCTTCTGGCCAGCTCCTCGTCCTTCAGGTCTCGGCTCAGTGCTTGCTTCCTCAGATAGGCCTTCCCTTCCAAGGACACCCAGCTGCCCCACTTTCCCCTATCTCGTGCTCACAGCAGACGCTGGGGGCCTTCCTGACCACTGAATGTAACTTCCAGCTATGTACATACTTGCTTGTCTGCTGGTCTGTTGCCCATCTTCCCATCTCCAAGGGCAAGGTCTAGTTCGCTTTTGCTCCTCATTGTGTCCCAGCACCCAGCAAGGTGCCTGGCACACAACAGGTACTTAATAAATGTTGTACAGTGAATGAATGAATGACAGATGGGAGCCATTCAAAATCCCTGTGCCGGAGTCTTGCTGAAGCAGAATTGAAGTCTTTTTAATAAAACTGGTAACTACTCAGGTGGCTTTAGAGACAGAGTTCTTTTTTTGTCAGAAAAACACTTTTCCAAGATGATTCCCAAAGGATGCCTTGACCTGTTCCATGAGGGCCCCAGGACTGGGGAGCATAAACAAGGGCGGGGGATGGGCTGAGATGCCCAGATCCCTGACGTTAAACTAGCCTGTTTGGATGAACAGGGGTGGGGCAGGCATTGGAGAATCAGAGTGCAGGATACTGAAAGTTCTTGATCTTTTCCTTTCTGCCAGGCAAAGAACTCAGAGCTTGGCCTCTAATAATCTTTACAACTCTGTGTGAGATGGACTTGCTGACCCCATTTTACAGTTAAGGAAGCTGTGGCTTTGAGGGTTAGGAAATTGTGTGAGTCTAGAGCTTCTTGACTCTAGAGCCCACGTTTCTTCCTCTCTGTCATGCTTCTCGGAAGTAAAATGCATGTTGGATTTGGAGAGGTCATTCCTGGTGGACTTCGCTTGGCACTCAAGGGCACTTCCCATCTTAGCCGAATTATCTTCCCCTTATTCATCTCTCCTCACCTGGCGAACCTTTTTCCGCAAGTCCCTGACCGTCACCCTGGTCTCTGGCCCCAGCCCCCACAGAGTTGTTCCGCTTTGTGGAACAACTTTGTGGAAAGTTTCCTAATGAAGTTTCCAGGTCCTTTGAAGTGTACCACGATGACCCTAGGCTTCAGAGAGCTCTCTCCTACCTCCCATCCCGCAGCAGTCAGGACCAAAGTACATGTGTCAGAAACCCAGCATAAGCTGGCTTCAAGAATAATTTGAGAAGGCAGGTTCGGCCCAAGATGTACTGGCTCGGGAAACGTGACAGACGAGGAGTAGATTGAGCTGCAGGCAGAGCTGGATCTCCGGGTCAGACCGTGTTACAGGAATCTACTGATGCTGGCCTCCTTCTCGGGCAAGCTCCTTCCAAGCGGTGATGAGATGATCCTCCAGCAGCTCCAGGTCCCGGTCCTAATAGCCCAGCCACTTCAAAGAAGAGAGCTTGACTTTCTCAGGGGTTGGAGCAAAAGCCCCAGAGCTGACTCTTACTGGCTCTAATTGGTTCAGCATAGGTCACATGCTCATTTCTCAACCAATCACCATGGATAATGAATGGCACCCACCTCTGTATCTAAGGAGCTGTGGGGAAGGAGGTTTTCTTCATGTATGTATGCCCCTGTCCTTCCAGCCAACCCTCAGCTCATGGCCTCTGACAACACTGAGCCCCTCATGTTTATACAGCATTTCTGTGTTTCCAGAGAGCTTTTTTTTTTTTAAGTTTTATTTATTTATTTGACAGACAAATCACAAGTAGGCAGAGAGAGAGAGGGAAGCAGGCTCCCCGCCAAGCAGAGAGCCCGATGCAGGGCTCCATCCCATGACCCTGCGACCGTGACCTGAGCCAAAGGCAGAGGCTTTAACCCACTGAGCCACCCAGGCGCCCCTCCAGAGAGCTTTCACATACGTACTTTTTCATTGTCAACTACCCTGCAACCACAGATTGTTTGTGCAAGTCAGGAAAGGGTTATGCACGTGCTGATTTCTTAACCCCAGTGTCCAGGTGTTGTGCAGGGTCACTAGACCCTGCCTCTGACTCCTGCCACCTCACTTTGCCCAAATTTGTCATTGTCCATTGTGTTCTGTGTGGGCCGTGACCTGCGACAAAGGCTGGAAGCATGGCCCCGTTGCTTATAAAGTGCTTCACTGTTCTCAGACACGTGAAATCCTCACACTGTCACGTGAAGCAGGTGCTGTCAGCCCAATTCACAGATGCAGAAACTGGCACTTGGAGAGAGAAGGGACCTGGCCCAGGGCCTGCTTGGTGAAGTGGCGTGGTGGCTTCGCTTATGAAAAGTAGAAGCGGCCCAAGAGCCGCTGGTCTCAGTGGCTTCTGACACAAGGCAGAGTTCTAAGAATGACTGGAAAAAGATCCTGCCCCGGGGCTCTCTGGATTGAGTGGAAAGCAAGAAATCTCTACAGTGCTGTAAAGAACACCATCTCCTGAGATGAGCTGGGTGCTAATGCTTTCCCGTTCTTGATTTCACTTAATCCTTTGCATAGCTCTCAGAGGTGGCGGTTATACCCACATTATTGGGGAGGACACTAAGGCCCAGAGAGAGTGAGTGACTTGTCCAAAGCCATTTGGCTGGTACCCAGGTCTTTCTGACTCAACCCTTTGTCTTGCTCCAGAGCCCTGGAGATGGAGGGCTCCCTTGGTGTTAATGCCCCTCTCCTCTCTCCCCCTCTGTAGGTCTATATCATCCGGGTTACCTGGTCCAGCGGCTCCACAGAGGCCATTTACCGGCGCTACAGCAAGTTCTTTGACCTCCAGGTAAGGATTTGGTGAGCTGTGGTGTAGGAAGAAGTTTAATTGGGCTAACTTTCCATTTTGACATCAGAACCTAGACCCTCATCTGTAGCAGACACATAGTATTCTTTTTTATTTCTTAGATTTGAAAATGTCCGTGTGCTCACTTCAGCAGCCCGGGTACTGAAATCAGAATGATGTAGAAATTAACATGATCCTTGTGCAAGAATGACACAAAACTGTGGAACACACCCTTGACTATCCCAGGAGGGGAAAAATCTTCCTGGCTTCAGGCATAGCTTGATCCAGGTTTTTCACAGTACCACTGCACCCAGCTCCTTCCACTCATCCTGCATTCCTACATTCACGGTATTGGCTTTATCCTCAGATCCCACGGGGTTACAAAATGCTCTGGGCTTACTCTCAGCGGGAAGAAGTGAAAGGTCGCTTCCCAGAAGTCCCAGTGAACACAGTGTCCTCTGCATACCATCCCATGTCTTGGCCTCACATGTTCTCTTGGAAGCTTGGGTGATATTAACCACAGGCAGCCTTGTTCGTAGGGACCTAATCCATTCCTAAAAATGCTGGATAAGGAATTTCCAGAATCTGTATTTCCTTATTTTAAAGTGGGAGGCGAGATAATAACGTGCTCTTAACCAGTTTCCCCGATATCAGTAAAACAATCTCAAGCGCCTGTGGAACCAGATGCCAAGAGGTACTGCGTAAGGGGAACTAACTGAAACACCAGTTACCTAGTCATTAAAATGCGCTGGACTTGTGAGTGGTATTCTGTGTTCACAAAACGCAACAAAGTCAAACAGTACCATATGTAAATTACATTTTCCTTCTGGTCCACAGCAAGCATGTACATACACAGGCTATATGTTAAAGATGCTAAGATACTATCTAAAACAGACTTAGCAGGAGCAGCTTAGGGGCCAGGAAGGGACTGAACCCTAGGGGAAAGGCAAGGAAGAAGACTCCCAGTGCCCTTAAATGCCATGAACAGGAAGTATAGCCCTGTCTGAGAATGACCAAGACACCCTCTTACCTAGATGCCCTACTCCCCTCTTACCTCTGTGCAGAGCTATTACAGCGGGTGTTCAGTTCAGAGATTGATTGTTGGGTAAACACTTCTACAAGTTACTAGACTGACTTTTCACACACGGCATGTCTGTGTAGGGAGGACTGCCTGTATTTTGCTTCCAGAAGCCTCTTGCCTGCCTGTTACCTCCAGAAGGATAACAGGGGGCAGAGAACAGTGAAACTGCTACAGTCAGGATTGCTAGCCTGCAGATTATGGACATCACACAGCAAACACCCGCTGAGCAGCTTACCCAGGAAGAGAGGGGTAGGGGAGATTTATGGGAGGAGGCAGCTGTGCCCCACAGAGCCCAGAGCAGGAAAGGCAGCCGGCCTCTTGGGGGCCAAGGAACTAGCAACTGAATGGCCCTCAGAGGCCCAGCAGCTCCCCAGCCATCTATCACTATGGCCCCAGGGTCTCCCACTGAGCCTACTTTGTTTTCCTGCTAGCCTCTCCGGACCAGCTTCCTCCCCGGACCCATTAGCCTGTATCCCCCGGACAGCACCGCAGTCCCCAAGTTGAAATGTCCTTCCCTGTCGTCAACACACCGGCGTTTCTAGGTGCTGGGTCCAGTCTCCAGAAGAGAGAATCTGATTGTCCCAAGGGTTCTGGGTCCACCTCCGAGCCTGTCAGCTTGTGGCCAGAGAGGTCGGGGCGTTTGGTATAGCATCATCTGGAGGAGGAGGTTGGACGAGGACGGGGTGGGGAGAAGCTTCTGGAAGCACATATGGAAATGTTAATTGCTATTCTGCAGCCCATGAGGCAGCATATCCAGGGCTTTAGACCTAGACAGACTGGGTTCAAACATCAGCTTGCCTTTCAGATCTCTGCTTGGTATCCCCTCTGTGTGTTTCTGAGACTCAGTCTCCCCATCTGCATGTTAAAAGTGAAAACACTTTCTCGTGCATTCATGGTGACAGTTAATTGAGATGTGCCTCACTCAGTAAGCACATTAGCTGTCACTAGCTGTCCCTCTGTTCAGATGAGACTTGCCCGAGGTGACATCATTTGGAACGGCTTGAGCCAGCGCGTGATCGCGAGTCTCCCTGGCCCAAAGCCTGTCCTCCCTCAACTCTCCTGTTCTGACTTAACTTTCTTATTTCTACCAGAACTTAAAAGTGAGGTTTTCTTCCCCACTCAGCATAATGGGCAATAATTGGGGGTTTGCTATCACAGAAACAGCTGCCTCAGGCTCCCCTCCCTGCTAGTCTAAAGGCAGTGGTTCAGCCAGCTTTAAAGAGTCCCAGATGGGTGGCTGGAGTGGGAAAGTCACGGAATTCCAGAGGGTCCTGCTGTCCTAGAAATGGCCGGCTGCCCACCCCCCACATCCCAGAGAGGGTATCTGGCAGAGAGTAGGGCAGACCCCACCAGCCAAAGTCAGCTGTTCCCAAGGACGAGTCCGGGAGGCCCGCCTGTATGGGGCTGTGACCCCCTGAAGTAAGATGATTTCATGATCCCACCCTCCCCTTCCTCCTGTCTGGAGAGTAGCCTCGGCTCTTTCAAAAGTATCTTGGCACAGAAGAGTATGGGGAGGGCCAAGCTTTCGTGGAGGAACAGCTAGGCCAGTGTGGCGTAATGGAAAACGCAGAGGACTCAGTCAGGAGACTTGGGGCCCAGCCACCTGTGCTGTGTGGCCTTTGGCACACCCCTTAACCCCTTTGTTGCCTGACTATCCTCATCAGGAACGTGAGGTAATGACAATAGAAATGACAACAGCATTTCTGGACCGCTGACTGCTCAGCATCTCAATATATTGACTCCTTTAATCCTCATGTTAAACTTATTAAATTACATAGATGAAGAATCTTAGGCTCAGAAAAGTTAAGTCATTTGCACAAGGTCACACAGCTAGTGAATATCAGAACTTGGATTTAAAACTAGGCGGGTGATACGAGATACCACACTCTTAGCCACTGTGCTTCTAGTGCCCTCTCTCTAGTGGCTCCTTCACAAGGTTTATGTGGTCTTAAGAGAGGTGATGTGTGTCCAGAAGGGGTAGAGCACAGAGACAGCAGATTAGTGATTGCCAGGAGCTGGGAGGAGGGGGAAAGGGAAAGAGGGTCTTTGTCAGTACTGGGTATCTTTTAGGGGTGATGAAAATGTTCTGGAATTGATGATCATGTTTGCACAGCCTTATGAATATACTAAAAACCACTGGATTGTGTAGTTTAAAAGGGTGAATTTTATGGTATTTGAGGTATATCTCAGTTGCTTTTTTTTTTTAAAAGTGATGATATGTGTGAGCAGTTTCTGGGCTGTCGAGCCCTGAACAAATGTCAGCTGTTGGGATTATTGATGGGCGTGGGTTGCTGCTGGGAACTAGCGTAAAGATTAGAGGAAGAGACGGTGCCAGTTTAATAGAGTGGTTAAGATCCTGGGCTTCCATCCAAATGTTGCCACTTACTGACTGTGAGATCTTGGTTTAGTCAGTACTGTTTTAGTTGCAGATGACAGAAACCCAGTCAAAATGGATTACTCAAAAAGAGCATTGATTAGCTGAATGTAACTGAGACATCTAAGTGTTCTTGGCTTCAGGTGTGGCTGGATCTAGGAGCAAAAGTGTCAGTGAGGACCTGCCTTCCTCCAGTTCTCCACGTTCTTCGTGCCCAAGCAGGGTGATGGGTGATTCAGAGGTGGTCGCAGCTCCAAGCTGTATCCCACAGGTCAGCTCAGTGGCTTCAGGAAAAAGAACACCCCCAACACTTTAAGCACAAGTCTCATTGGTTCATCTTAGGCCAGTGGCTGGACCGGTCAGGGCCACCCTAGGGACTGGAGTAGAATGTGTGTAGACTAACCAAGGAGTAGAAGATTCCCCTGAAGGAATCAGACAGCTGCTGCCACAGAGGGGGGATAACCTGTACATGACAGAAAACAACATATGCTCCTCTTGGTCGGGGCAGGACATTCCGGTAGAGGAAACAGTCTGCAGAGAGGCTGCCTGGGGTAGAAAGGAGGAGCATGACTCAGGCTCCTTTGTGGGAAAAGAGACTCACAGTCACCAGCAAGAAGGTCCCCTTTATGACAGTCCACCTTCCAGTGTGATTTCCTGACCCTCTTCTGCTTAGAACAGCCAGACCCTAATCGTCATGCCTGCCACTTTCTAGTGGATCTCTGACCTCGTATCTCATTCATACTAGGGTGCAGGCTATAGAGCCCTGGGCTTGGAATGGCAAGACCTGGTATCTGGTCCCAGCGCTGTGTTACCAGCTGTGTAGCTTTGGGCAGGCCACTCAGCCTCTCTGAACCTCCCTTTCTGCCCTAGCCGGGGCCCATGCTGGAGAGTCCATCAGCGTGCCAGAGAGAGCTGGCATCTGAGCATCTGAGCAGGGCACGGCGATGGCCAAAACGCGCAGAGCGCTGAGGGCAGTGCCTGGTGGAAATGGGGTTTGGTAGAGTGACACTGTGATGGGGTCAGTGAGCATTTGCTGAAATGCGCCATGTGCCCACTTTCTGTGCCATCTCATTTAGTCCTGAAGTCACAGACAAGGAAGCAGAAGCTCAGAGAGGCACAGTCCTGTGCCCAGAAGCAGCATGGCTGTGATTCAGGCCCAGGTGTGGCTGAGTCTGAAACCCGTGCTCCTAACCACTGAGCCCCCCAGCCTCCTTGAGGCCCAGTATTGCGTTTATATCTGTCTTTTCAAAGCCAGGTTTGCCTCCGAGTTCTGCCTAGAGCTGGCCTTCAGAGGCCTATCTGGCACTCCCACTAAGATGCAGCTAGAGCCTGTCCTGCAGAGGGCTGCTCCCAGCACAACACAGGCCCGGCACAAACAGGCCTCAGATGGGAGAGGGGTCCACTCTACACCACGCCATGCAACCTTTGCCCTCTGAGTTTTCCCGGGGGTTCAGTGTGTCCCCCCCAGGCCAGCGTCATGGTCTTCCGCAGAGCCGAGGAAGCCCTCACAGAAGGCAAAGTTAGCTATGTGCTGAGCCAGACCTGAGC